CGAAAGTAACTTCGTATTTGAGGATTCCGTGACTTAGGCTTTATGAGAAACGTGTTCGGTATAATAGTCAGAGAGTTTGAAAATTCTAAAAAACTCTTGTGGGAATCCCACTGAAAGGTCATACATCCTAAAACTCCCAGGGTAATCTTACAAAACTATTTTTCAGTTACTCGGCTTTGAGTAGATTATAAATATGTATTGCTCTTCTGATCGGAGCCCTTCATTTCCTCTTTAGATAGCCCGGAAGTTGAAGAAAAAGTGAAAATCGTCCTTCTAAACGGTTTATTATATCGGGACGCTTTCGTTGGATACCTATCCGAATCTGGTATCCAGATAGTGAATTGAATGCCTATTCTAACGCATATAAATTTATTAATTAAATATTGAGCTTAACTAGAAATATTTAGCTGCGAAAAACTGAAAAAAGTTCATTTTTGTTAGAACCATTTTAGTACAAAGGAAACGTCGAACGAAAATGTACCCGCTTAGTATAATGATCACCTCATTGAATACTATCTATTCAGAAGATTTCACATGTCTATCATTAAAAATGAATATATTCCTGGTATCATGTTTTGGCCAAGAAATCGCAAATTTTGTCTCCATTCAGTCCCCTTTGCGTAATTTTCAAATTTTTTAAATGCACAGTTGTGCTAACAGTTACAAGCCCTGTAAACTCTGAAAGTTTCCTTCCATTCTGATGAAGTGAATTTAAAGTCAGATACATTCTCAAAAAGTCAGTCCCAGATTATTTGGCTGATATCTTTGTGAAAATAACATCAAACATTGAATAATTTAATACCAAAATGTTCAGGGGAAAAGCTCTAAAAACTTGCACATTTCAATGAATTTGAATACACTGAATAAAGCAAAATGATCAGAGTTAACTGATAAATTCATGAAAAATTGTCGTTCAAAATAGTTGTCGGGCTTTCACACCCGCAAATCGCAGTGGCGAAGAAAACGAACTCGTACATGTTGTAGAGCAAGTTTTGCTCTATCGAACTGCTTACGCCAATATTCTCGTTAATTCTGACTCACACATAGATTTTTTCAAACACTGTACCTCACTAGTGCACCGCAAAACGACCTAGTAGTTCGAGAAAGTTCTTCAAAATTATTTCAATTCCTATGGATTCGGATGCAGTTTTTCACAAGGATTCTGAATATGTGATTGGTTTTAAAATTCGAGTGAAGAAAGTGAGATTTTCATCATTTTTTCGAAAAAACTGCTTTTTTATTTACTTTAAAAAAGAAAAGTGTACTTTTTGTATATGACCTCTATCTTCACGAAAATGCAATTTATTCCTAAAAAAATGATTATCAAAATGATCAGCCCAAAATTCTCTACAAACCCCGTAACTTTGAATGAATTCTGGCTTGGTCGCCGGATCGACTGGCGATTGCTGGTGGAAGGATCCATATAACAATATGAGCGACATCTGAGATACTCGATTGAGCTGTACCCAATGCATTCGGTCGTGGCTTACATGCAATGGCTCTTAAATAATATTTAAGGGGTGTAGTCGATAGAGCTCTATCAGTTGTATGTAGATATAGTATTTTCCCAACTGCCGGTTTCTCCATAGAATAAGAAATTGAGTTTTATGATAATATGCATGTTTTTGGTAATATTTTGACAGCATAAGACGCGTGATATTTTCCGGTTTCCTCATAAAAATAATTCCGTATGAATATTTATATATTTGTATTAAATAGCAATCGAAAGCTCTTGAAAAGGAGAATCTAATGAGTATGTGTAGATTAATATCTGCATATATACAAACGTATAATTTGCGTATGAAGGTGAGGGTAGTACTACCCTAATCATACCTCCATTATTATGCCACTCACTATCAGAATTCTGGGTTGTTTAAGGTATTCAGAATTTTCACTGCATGTAAGAGTAATGTTTCTCAGTTTGAGAGAAGTCGATTGAAGTGAAATTAAATTATATTTTCTCTAAATCTATCATTTTAATCTTTTGGGGCATTTTGGTACAAAAAAATCTGTCGGGACATTTTTTGAGTAAAATATTGTTTTTCATGAACGATACATGGCTAAGAGCTGAAATTTGTACCAAATATCTACCATATAGTTAGCTAAAAATGTGTAAAAATCATGGCTTAATCTCTTATAGTTATCAAGAAATCAAAGGAACAAAATTCAAAATCTGTCGGGACATTTAGTAGAAAAATAGTATCCCGTCCTCTTATTTTTAGTTTTTTTATTTGATTCAGAAGGTCCTTAGAAAATTTTTTTTAATCAAACGATTTTTCACTATTTAGTCTACCGAACAGTAAAAACAAAATCAAGTTTGCTTTGATATTGGCCTTAATATATTGAATTTAATCTGTCGGGACATAAAATGCTCAAAGTGTATGTTTAGGCAGTTTTTNAACGGGTAGATAACCATTTTGCCACAAATTCATTTTTTTTAAAGAAATTGAATTTGCCGCAAATTCATATTCCCCATCATATGCAAAAATCAGAACTAGATGTCTTTCTGGACATAGATGACTATTCCGTCTTCATTTTGGAATTAATAAATGTTTCTTGTAATAGCAGTTATAATCTAATTCATGTTAGGCAACTCATGCTTACTTGAGGGCTAAGTCTCAATTATAATTATTCGAATTGAAAATAAATTTATTTCAATTATTTTCGAATTGACTTGAGCCATTTGGAACTTCAATTATATTCGAATTCGAATTAGGCATCTCATGATACGACTGCAGACGAACGTTATCGTGAAATAAGGGAAATATTTGGTCGACCGAACTAAAACTTATAGGAATGACTACTTGCTTTGGGTCCTACAGTGGTTGGAAGTTTCACGTAAAAAGTGCCATCATTTTTAATTGGCCCACATTCTGTATAAAGCATTTCTTACCATTTATTTAGTGATAGACACCAAATGGGGGATAGACAGCCGTTGCTAGGTAGATCGCACCGATTCTCAATAGATAGCAATGGCAGTTGTGATGGCACCACTGAAAGGAGGCTTCCTTCATTTCGGTAAGCTTTAAAAGAACAATACATAAATTGGAATTTTCAAGGAACTTATTCTCTTTACAGCTTAGCTGATTGGATGCTTTGGGTACGCGGAGAAAGTAGCAACACAAAATCTGACGAATTCGATGATGGTGAACAAACTGACTACGAGAAGCCAGTTGGCTTTCTTCAATTGGTACATTATTATCTAGCATAAAAACGAAAATATATCAGTTAACTGAGTTGTTTTAGTTTCGCTTCACAAATCGTGTTGATCTAATCCTGATATTTGCCTATTTATGTGCAGTTATGGGGCATGCTCTTAACTATGTTTTCGGCATATTTATCGTCAATCAAATCAATGGATTATTTGCTGCTGTGTCGTTTTGTATTAATCCTGACAATGAGCACGAAAATTTAACTTTTTTTACGGAAAACAGTAAACCGTGGTCTCATGATGTTGGCGTGGGTCAGTGCGACAATATATCATTGTATAAGTAGTTCGCGAATAACATAGTATATCGTTTTACAACTTGTGTAACTTTTATAGTAGAACTTTGTACAACAGTGATGAAATTTCGAAATCAACGTTGACTGCATTGATGCCAACAATTGAAAGCAAAATTATGGGAAAAATTCATTTACTATTCAGTGAGTAAATAATACGTGGTATTTCCATTCTAAAAACCTACAAATTCTGTCTCATTTTCTTCTGATTTAGTTCTGGGTTTCGCACAATTGGGATTTGCATTAATTGAATATTATACTTGGAACAGTTACATCCAAAGACAAATGTTTCGCATGAATATTTCCCTCTTTCAATCGCTGATTCAACGTGTAAGTAAAATCAATTAATATTGAAAAATTATATATGTAAAATGCAGGTTGGATTTAACTATTAAACTTAGCTTAACATATTATACTGTTGATTAGTTAAAATGTTGATTTCTTCACATTTTCGACTGTTCATATTGATGGTACGAATATGAATCGATGAACTACAAGAGTACAGAATAGTGGAATACTTGAAACTTGAAGGGTTCAATACATCAACTGTTGAATATTTAAATATTTAACGCTGATTTTAAAGCATGAATTCAAGTTTCATTTAGTACAAATATGAATTTAAGAATGAGTTCTTTTGATTTTAAGCTCGAATCTGCTACTCTAATCCAAAACAACCACAGCTTTTCTCATCGATGTTTCCCAAAAGATTCAGTAGCCAGGAATATATGAAATTCCTCATTATTTGAAATAATGTATTTCAAAATCTTTGCAATTTATACAAGATACCTTGGGTTAATATTTGAGCATTTTCAGAAACTACTCGCGATTATCAGCTCTTCAGGTATATCGAAACGAATTTTATCAATAGTACTGCTTACTTGTACTAGAATCACTACTCGCTTCATAGTGAAATTTATAAAATATTGTTAATACTTCCAACAGTTTTAAAACTAATTGACATTGACTCAGAAGTCATTCTGAATAAGAACGAAGATTATATGAACAACATGCGATCCATTGAGCTATGATTGAGCCATACATTCTAAAGTAACGAGAAGAGTGCATTTATGGTAAGAGCATTTTCCCAATTGGTTCGAGTGTTCCAAATAAATTTTTGCAGTAAAATTAACTCATGCTCGTAATTTTGTTAATTAGCTTACGTTATTTCGTTTTCATAGTACGAGAAATGTTCTAAACACGGCCGCCCATGTAAATATTTTTTACCTCGAACCGCGTCTGGAACGCGTTTCATTTGCGTGCGAAACGCACACAGAGAACGCGTCTAAATGCGTCTCCAGTGAAACAAATGAAGTGTTTAGATGCGGTTGCTCACAAAATCGGGAATAAACGCGTGTCAACGCTTGGAATGTTTCACCAGGGACGCGTTTGCAAAGAAAACTGCGTCTCAACGCGTTCCATACAATTTATGAAAAATGAAAAAAAATTTCAGTTCGTCTCAGGTTTGATCTTAGTCATCATCGATATCCTCTATCGCATGGTCTTTACCTAACTGTACGTCAACAAGCTGTTAGCATATCGACATATCGATGAATCTGAAATGATAGAAATGAGATTAGAACATGTGAACTAATGTTTAAGAGACATATACGTACCATGAAGCCGTATATGACTAAAATCGTTGTCTGATGGCATGCAAAGTCTACGAGGATTATACGCTCATATAAAATTTACAAAATTTAGAAATGATAGAAATATAGAAAAAAGAATTTCTACAAATTATTAATCATCAATACACATATCTATCAGAAAAGATATTTTCACAAAACTAATTTTTATTCAATATTTTATTTTAATTTCAAACACTTAATTTGACAACCTTTTCCATTTAAGAGAGAATGCGCAACAATGTTTTTTTACATAAAATCATCGGTGGTGCTATCAGAATTCAACGTTTAATATCAGTTTACTTTATTTGATTAAATAGATTCTCGTTTTATTTCTTAATCAAATTATGAATGTAACTGAAATGAGAACTTTCAATAATGACTGATATCAATTGAAAAACAGAATTCAGATTTATTCATGAAACGACTTAATATTGACCATTTGAAGTTATCAAAATAATACATAAAAGGATAAAGAGCTTTGATAGCAAAGTTCAGCTAAGAAAAATCAAATATTTACTTTCGAAAAATATAATCGTCATATTAGCAATCTTAAATAAGTTTCATTAATATGATTCAATCTTTCATCTTCGAACCACCAAAACTGAGTATGTAAAATAATAATACTATAACGTGTAATAGTTACAGATGCTAAATACTATACAAATAGAATAGAACGGCAACTTAATTAATTTTCTTGTCTCATTACTATCGAATGTGACCAAATCTACGTCTGATACCAAGGGAGAAATAGCAGACTTTTGAACTTCAAGTTACTTTGAGCTACTTGAGTGATACTTCACAGGTACTTGAATGATACTTTGAGCTACTTTAAGCTACTTGAAGGTACTTTGAGCTACTTGACGCAACGCCATGCTGCTTGAAGCTTCTAGGATATAGCTTGATCTTCTCAGCTAGGGATGCAATGGCGGTGATAACCATAAGTACGGTTACACCGTCCCTAATAGATTCAAACCGAGTTGAGCATTGCGCAGTGCTGAGAAAATTTCCTGTTTTGACGTTGACTGTAAAGAAAGTGGTTTCGGAGAAAATATCGATACGTTATAACGGTTGAGGAAGAAAAGTCGGAGCTGGG